CTAAGTGTTCTTGCAACGTTGAAAGCAGTATATTGTGGTACATTGACAAGTACAATATGAAACCATCGGAAATCCTTTACACGACGGTAAAATGATTAGTAATGGTTGCGGTTTACTTGTATTGACTGACATAAGGTTTGTTCACATGGACAATATAATATTTTATGGCTGTATTGCATGGTTGATTCATAGAAACTCGCTATTGCTATCTTCTTCGATAATACTCTGCGTTATTTTTTCACTTGCCACAAAGCTCAAGTGCTGCAGCATGTCGATGAGTTCCTGATCCACCTCCCGCCTTGGCTTCGTGTCAAGCACCGCCACCGTGCCGAGAGCGTGGCAGTCACGACAGAAGATCGTCGCACCAGCGTAGTAGCGGGTCTTCACGGCACCCGTATCGCCCTTGACCATCGGGTACTTGCGAAAAAGGATAGAATTAACGACGGTCAAAAGCACATTAATGCTCAATTCTTCTAATGTGCAAAGCTTCGAAGAGCAACACCGCACGGTTGCGCAGTGTTCTATTTTCTTGAAACTGTCCAATAAGGCTTTCACTCTTACATTAGTTAATGCATTTGCAGGATAAGGTCTAGCAAAAACCACACACAAAGTCGCCGATCTTGCTGTATTTAAATATTGCAATCAGCGCACCCACCTTTCATGACGAGCTCAATACGCTTAACATCTTCAACGTTGAAATATACGTTTTTGCGTCCTTTTCTTCTGTCGTATCTAGTGTCGTTGCTCGCGCCACTATATTTTAATCTTTTTCAGCATGTGACGTTCATCATTTCTCTGTCATTCCTACGGCGTAACATCGACGCGGTGTCCGTTGTTTCCTCAGGAACATTCTAGCGTCACTACGGATGCATGCTCTCAGTAGTAAACTAGAATATTCCTGACGCAAGCCATCAGTCCAAGAATTTTCAGAGGTCAGCACGTCTTTGGCACCAAAGCTTATAGGGATGAAGGACGCTTGAACGATTCATCGTGATCAAGAAATTTCCGTGCTTCTTTGACCTTATAGCCGTTGGAAAGCGAGACGCATCGAGAAGCGAGCTGTTGAAACTATTAACGAATGACAGGCATCCGAAGCTGACCGCATTGGGCTGAACGGTGTTGTTTGAAAAGTTTGTCAACAAGTACTTGACGCAACACACACTTAATGACAAATGCATCTACACTCATTTACCTGGATTCGATTTGTTTGCTGCATTGCATGTATGAGAGAGATACCACACACTCTCGAGTGTCTTGAAACGGATCGATGCAAAGATACTTAGTCTGAACCGGCTTTACAACTTCAACATGAGGTGGCGTGCAATCCAACTTGCAAGGGCAGTGTTCGTATAAGGATGGGTGCGTAGAATTTGACTAGGAGCACAGCATTTAGCATATAAGAACGAAGAAAAGCAGCTGCTGGAGACGGACGTTCTTCCTGCTAGTTGCAGGAAACAGATTATTTGTGGCCAATTGAGACTGCAAACCGTTACATCGAGGCCCTGCCTAATGTGACTTTTCACCTTGTGTTTGTTGGATCATCTTGCTGCGTCGAATTTGGCTAGGAACATCGTGCGACTCATCACAAGTTTTTGCAAAAAAGCCAAGTTAAACAACGCTTGCGTGCAACATCCGACCAAATAAGTTTGCAAGTTCGTTGCAATGGATTTAGCACGCAATACAAGCCGATCAGTGTTTTTTCTCGGCCAAAGATTTTTTTCAAGAGCACTTCACTGCCTTTTGCACCCGTCAGCTGCTAGGCTTGATTCAAGCTTGTTTGGGCGTTTCTCGAGCTGAGGGTCGCATTTCAAGGAAGAGCGTTGGTAAAGCCTTCTCTGCATTGATCCATTCACACCGTGCCTAAACGCCTTTCGATCGTAGAGGGGAGTTAAGCATGGAGCCGTCAAATGCAATGGCAGTGTGGACGCAGGATCACGTGCCACTCACTTCAAAACTTGAACCGATCACATCGAAGCTCGACGTAGCTTCAGCAGAAAAGGATCCGGGCTGCAGTTGGCCATCAAAGAAAACCGATTATCGGCGCTCAGAGATGGTTGGAGTGTTGCGAGGCAATAGCGAGCTTGCTAGGGTCCAGCAGATGCAAGAGCCAAAAGCTGGAGGGGTGCCCCGATCTGTGTTGCAACGATTGCTTTCAATACCGTCTGCACCTGGCTCACCAATCCATAGCCCCCGTCATCGGTGCTCCGCTGCTTCGGCTGCTATAATGCACAGCCCGAGAGCATTCGCCAACAGTGACAACAGCCCGTTTGAAAAGCGAGAGTCCACCGTCGAACCAGCTCCCTATCACTGGTGCTCTCAAATGTTGCCGGCCATGGAATGTGGTAGTTACGAAAGCAGTAGCAACTGCAGCAGTCAATCGAGTAGTTCAATTCCAATCGACCATTATTCAGATCGTTTGATTCCATCGGACGATGAAGAAGATGAGAATATCAATGAAGTCGTTATGCTGCGCCAATTGGTAGCGCTGCTTGTCAAGAGTCTCGAGCATGAGAAAAAGCGTCGTGCGTCAGAACAGCACCTCATGCAGAAGGTATTCATCTCACTGTCCATCGATTACATAAAGTAGCTGACTCCATGTTGTTTACAGAAAATCATTGAGCTACAGAGCCTCATCCGTGAATATGGGCACGAGAATGGCGAAATGGGTTCGGTGAGAAAGGCATCGTCAGATCAAAATGGTCTTCTTTCGACACGAGAAAATGAACCGCTAGAGAACAATCAAACCAGGCGATGGTCAGCTCCGGTGTATGATGACGAAAGGGGAGAGTTATCGTCTAGCGGTTTTCTGCAGAAACAAAAGGATGCTATTGAAGAAGCAGCGGCTCAACCAAAACTCACCCGTCTCCGTGCTCAACTGCATGCTACCGTATTTGACAGCCAAAGCGAGACTCAGTAAGTCAGTTGTTCACACACAACCATAGGCTAGATATTATGCAGTAGCTTACCTTTAGTATCGTTCCTTGGCTGCAGAACACTACGAGCCCAATTGGAAAGCGCGAAGCGAAGCCAGAACAAGAGGGAGAAGGAACTTACGCTCGAGACTGCGGTCAAAGTCACAGCACTTGAGCAAAAGCACGCTGCAGCCACGACTCAACTTGCGCAGCAAGCTGCAAACAGTGCCGCACAGGTGGGACAGCTGGAGGCCGAAAACCTGGAACTCGTAGCATGTGTGCAAGTGCAACAAGAGCATCTCAAGCAACTGGGGAGTGCCCTTGGGGGAAAGCAGATCGTGGATGACTTTCGGTGAATGCAAGTCGAAAGGTGCAGTCCACATGAGCACCCGTCAGTTAAGATGTTACAGCTGGGTATGTGCTTACTGCATTGAACATGAAGATGCGCGAAAGGTGAGACCCAGGAAAGAAAGAACTGCATGAACAGGCAGGCACCAAAATGACACAATAGAATACAGAGAGGAGCAGTGTCAGTACGCTACTTGTAGACGATCGAAAGTCTAACTTGGGCCACTGCTTTGCACTTCGCTCTTCCCTGGCATTCTTAACACACTTCACAGCAAATCATAATAGCTGAAGTGACGGTATTTCACAGGTACAACAACAATATCAACAGCAACGCCTTGCCACCCTGGCTGGATACACGCTCCGGTCGGACGGCTTGCTACTTTGCCTTGTACCAACCAATTGAAAAGCTTGTCCACACTGCTGGCACGAAATATAAGCAGAACAAATTAAAATAGTCATTGCGTCGAGCCGCTGAATTGGTTGTCGTGATGCGGAGTATATTACGATGACGCGTTAAACTTCACCCGAATCTCCTCTTCACCCAACAGACCAGCACTGATTGAGTTAATGTTTCCCGTAAAAACACGACGTTCCCATGTGGCAGTGTCGAAGAACAGGAACTGCGGCGCAAGTGAGCTGCTCGATAATGAAGACCCTGGACCAGGTCCCATCGCACTACCAATTGACCCAATACTACCATTGCCACTAGCGCCCGCTAGTGCTCCGGTACTTGTACCACCTGCCGACGAGCTTGAATTGTTGTTCACGAGAGCAGCATCAGCTGAAGACGCGCGTTTCAACCAGGTCTTAAGTTCGGCGTGGTATCGCCACTCACGACTGTACAATTCCTGAGCAGCATAAGCTTGCAACACGTCCTTCGGCATCGAGTAAAAGATAAAGAAAAGCGTTTCAAGATGAAATTTGGACAAGTGCGTCGTCTTGAGCACCGGTGGTTGATTGTAGTAACACGTCGGCAACGAAAACTGCGGTTCCTTTGTCAGATGCTCATCGACCCATGGAGATGCAAACGTCGGATGCAGTGGACTAGTGCAGCAATAGACAATGACCAGTTAGTCAAAGACCATCACCAAAAAATTTCAAACGTCTAAGGAACGTACTCTCCCGAGTTAAGGTTCAATCCCAGCAACGTAAGATCGCAACCCATTGCTAAATTATTCCTTGAATCGTTTCCTGGCCGAATGACGGTGTGCAGCATCCCAAGAAGTCCGTACTGGTTGCTAGGGTCTAGCTCGCCATTGCTAGACTTCTCAGTAGCCTGTTCATCTTGACGTGGTGCACGGAAATGATCGAAAGCTTCAGTCCCTAAATTTACACTGCCAGTAATTCCTGTTGCTGGTAATGTCATCCCACCAGCACGACTGCCTATCGATGTACCACCCTTTTGTTGTTCTAACCGTGAGGATAGCATTCCATCTGCAGCAGATGAAGTAAAACTCGAGTGTCTTTTTAATTCTGTCAGTGGTCGCATGGGACTCTTTTCGTTGGCAGTCGATCCAAACGTGGAAAGTGCAGGAAAATCTTCTTTTTGAATAACAAACTCAGACGGTTGAGCTCTTATTCGGTCAGCTGCCGAGCCTTCAAAGCTTGAGTCCAGTGATAGAGAGCCCATCCTAGTCAGTATGTACTTTTTAGTTGACTAAATGTGCTCTTTAATTTCACCCATCAAATCACATAACACTTCATACTATCAGCCTACTACGAACCTGGAGCTTAGAGCAGGAAATTCCGACATATCGGGTGCCTTGTTTTCTGTCGATAGCTGGAAATTGCGTCCTAACAATATCAAAATCGATATGAGTTTTTCTACTGATGTCCTAAAATGTATCACAACATATACAATAATAATAATAATAGTGATAACAAAAAGAATATCACTATATAGTTAACCTGAGTTAATACGATGCATATCATGCGTTGATGGGATTGTTGTTGTTCCCACTGATAAGCGACTGATACCAGCAACACCTAGAAACTAATACATGAATAATACAAATAAATTATAATTATTAATATAGATATATCAACAATTCTTATTACAATAACAACCCTATTTTTCATAATACTAACGACATTGGAATCACGTACTGAATTTGATCCACTTGCTTGCATTAAACCACTATTGTAGTTTGAATAGGGGCTATGTAATTGTACCAGATTATTTTCTACAATTTAAATAGAAAGAAACAAAATCGAATTAATCAAGTCATTCATTCATTCAATTTGAATTTATATTTCTTACGTTTGTAAATAATAGTAACATTCATAAAACATATGACAATCATTCATACCTGTTGTGTCAGTATCGATGGGTATACCAGACCCTAGACCAGTAGTCTGACCACTGGTCATGGTATGAAAAGTAGAAAGACTTAATTGTGGTCCCCCACTGGTATTTAAACTGTTGTGATTATTCAAATTCTTGGAACTTGAAAATTCATCTCGATGATAATAATACTGGCTCGCGTCAAATTCTTCCTGTAGAGGCGGTAAAAGACGAAGTTTTAAGCTAAAAGTTCGCTTAAACTTAACGGACTAAAACTTTTCACGATGACGCACGTTATCTTCAGCTGTTTGAATATTGTCCTTAAAGTATGCAAACTTGTCCTTCGATGGATCAATCATGGCCACAAGATTAGTTATAAATCTTGTATAGAACGACTACTTTGCTAAATGTGATGCTTTAATTCCCCTCCTTTAATGGTGTGCACCACAATTTAATAAGATACAAACACTTAACACCAACTATAACAATACAACTGTATCGATCGTTATATTGCAATAAGTCATACAGTATAAAACAAATGTTTATCAGGATTTTTTGTTCTAAACGGTATCCCTTTCTTTTCGGTATAATACCGATATTCCACACAAAACACGATGTGGACCGCCTTTACCGCGGCGTTCGTGCTCGTCATGCTCATGGGTTTCTTATCAATTTGTATAGCAACTCTACTAATAACATTTGGTCATGGAATTGATCGTCAAAATACAAGACGTGGGACTCCACATAGTACCTCACATCAAGAATTTCTACTTGCTCATGTACATGCTGGTGTAGAGGAATCCGGTTTATTGGAAAGGCCACGACCTAATGGCGAATTTGTACGATTATTCTATCGATTTTGGCTACCAAAAAAGATGAACAGTGCTAGTAATGTAAAGGCAGTGGTGATTGTATTACACGGCATTAATTCACACAGTGGCCGTAATAATAAATTTATGGTTGAGGTACTCGAGCATGGATTCCTAGTAGCAGGAATTGACCATGAGGGTATGGGCCGTAGTGATGGTAGACATGGATATTTTTCTAGTGTACATACTTTAGTAGACGATGCCATTGCATTTATAGATTTGGTCAAGGCGAAATATTCACAGAAGAAGATCTTTCTGCTTGGATCGTAAGTGGACTTTCTTACTAGCTTCTTTTTGAGGTTCATCCATCTGAATGTTGTTGATAAATGGGTTTTATGTCTTATTGTGTGTGTGTGTGTGCTAACAGCTCGCTGGGTGGATTAATTATTCTGCATGCACTTAGTAAAGGCGGCCCTAAGCTCGTTGACGGAGCTATTATATTATGTCCAGCCACAGAAATCCACGAGGCGTCACGACCATCGCATCTGATTGAAACCATTGGCAGATTGTTGCACGAATACACACCTAAATTGCCGCTTGTAACGGCTAATCGTGGCAAAAACAGTTCTCCAGAAGTAGCGGCATTTGTGGATGCAGATAAACAGGCTGACCCCCCTGTATTATCCTGGCAAGATGCGTGTTGGCACGGGGCTAGCTTTGTTAGAAGGTATTACGAGCATCCAAGACAAATTGCAGCTCATTGAAACACCTTATCTTCTGCAGCATGGTACGGCAGACAGAACTTGTCGTGTCACAGGTTCAGCGGCACTCCACCTTAAAACGCGCAGCGTCGACAAGACCTTCAAAACTTACGAAGGAGGACACCACGATTTGGCCAGTGAGCCGCCTCATATTCGCGATGCGGTGGTACGTGACTTTGTCGTTTGGCTTGAAGATCATTCCAAGCTATAGTCAGTTGCAAGAAAGAAGCTCATATACACATAAGACTAGATGCTGCTCGCAGAATTGCAATGATATATATATATATGTTCTGTTGTTACGAGATTCCTCAAAATACCAAAAAAAGATGATGAAGGAGTGACCGTGTGTTCATAGCTGTGCTCTTACTTACCATCGATCTTGCCATCCAGACCATCCACAAGAACGACTCTCTTTGCCATGTATTTGTGTAGGAATTTGCGTCCGAATGCGAGGTACGACAAACTGTAACAGATCATACTGCCAAACTGTATCAGGAGCAACAAGATTACACTGAACCAGTGCGAAGGCCACAAGAAGGCCACAACAATCGAAAGCACAAGAGAACCCATCCAGGTGCGACCAGTCACGCTTCGCTTACTTGAGAGCATGCGTTTTTGAAGACGAATCTGACCCATGATGAAAATGAGACTGCAGAATGTGGCAACGTTACTCAGTGAATAGAAGAGCGCATAGAAGCGTACGTGATGCACGTTCGTGAATAACATCACTGTAGCTGCAAACGCAAACAGGCCGCTGAGTACGTAGCAGCCGACAGCGCTCAGTGCGCGCTGGTTGAGCGTAAGTTCATCAAACTCATCGCCGATATCATCCAACAGTCCGTCCTCCTCGTCGCTATCCTCGTCGCTCGAGTCCTTTCGACGTAGCTTGACCTTTTTCTTGTCATTCTTAATCTCAATATGGAAACCTTCTCGTGCTGAGTTCATTAAACCGCTGCTCTTCTCGAGTGCTTTCTTGCTTTCTTTCGCACTCTTATCGATACTATCTTTCGTCTGTTTTGTAGCCTTTTCAATACTTTTCTTTGTCTGTTTTGTAACCTTTTCAATACTTTCTTGTGCCTTTTTACTTGTTTTTTCCACCTCTTTCTGCGTCTTCTTGGCAAAACCTTCCAATGTATCGCTAGCTTTCTTGCTTTGCTCCTTTAATTGATCTATCATTATTGTCTTTCACCAAAACTCTTGGAATGCAAAGCTAATATTTTTCTCGTGCAAAATCGTGTGCACCACATGTGTTCTTGGATACAAGTTAGTATTATATATAGTATTACATTGTTTTTTACTTATATTTCATATCAATACTCTTGTGTATATCGGTGATAGGGATATCGCAAGCACATGATCCAAGCCGTCTCTTCTTGTAGAAAGAGACACTTGACGTTCATAGAAAAAGAAATGTCACGAGTCTCATCTTCGCATCTTCAAGCCATTCTTCGAGTAAAAAGTCTCATCACATTCAATCGTGTTGCCCTGTACCGTTTGCATGGCAAAGTGCATTAGCTGCACCCAAATTACGGCCGCTTTTTCGTTTCTTGCCCTTATAAACAGCATGGGTCCACCTAGGAATTCAACGCAAAAGGCACAACGTCCCATCATAACAATCTTTGTTCCTAAGCGTAAATCCAGCTCTCCTCGACGACTCTGCCAATAGCTTCGCTTGTATAGAGTAACTTTAAAGGACTGAAAGTCTAGTATACACCAACGCTTGCTCCAGCTGCGACAAAGTAGCGCGATGGATTCACGAAGCACAAATAGATTACCGCAATAAGGTGGGAGATCTAAATGAGCAACTTGAGATGGAATGGGCAATAGGTCGATAAAGTCAGGTGTAGTGTATCGGTCGCTTATAGGAACTACTGAGACGCTGTCAGAGTCTTTCCGAGTAAGCGCCCGAGTAAGCACTTGTTGAATATAGTGTTTCTCTACGCGAATCACCTCAATTGCCTTCTTCATACAGACCACTTCGTTCTCCAACTCTGCTTCGTCATCTTCATCTAGCTCTAAACTCTTCACCTTGAGACGATCCTCGCGCTCCATCTCCAGCAGGTCGTCCTCTGTCATCGAGAACCCATTCACGTCTAACTGTGCACACCGTCCAGAATTGGTCCGATGTAATGCACTGCGTATACGACTGCTTGGCACTTTACTTTTTAAACCAAAGGGATATACCGTTGCTCGTTCGAACGAATCAAGTCGATCGAGACTTTCACGATCGTCCCAGAACTCGTTCAAGCCGACGTTCTCGCGAAACATTTGCACCGTGTTGGCAGTATCGCTCACATCAAAGTAGCCATGTTCTTTAAAAAATGCAAGACCATCCAGTGTACGTCCTGCATACACATCTACAAGATGCCGATCGAACGGCGTAGTCACTTCTGCGAGGCGGCGCATACTTGTCGATTGATGACGATCGGTGTGAGAGGAGGCGCCTTTTTCACGAGCCATCTGAGTTGAACGATACGACAAAAAAAGTATAGATTGATCGTGTAGTGGAAAAAAGCTTCGAGAAGTCTGTGCTTGCTGTCACACCATCGGTCTGCAGGCGGATTGGTTGTTCAGCATAACTGTGCGTGACAAATTCAGCTGCGCACGAGATAATTTAGTCTCATTGCATGCTTGTGTACAAATGATTCCGTTTCGTTCTTGCCGTTAGAGAGATTTTTATGTCTAAATTACCCACAAAGAAGAGCATTTTATTGCAGTTTATTGGAAACTCTAGCGTGATTGATTAATGTCTTGTGCCGCAATATGCTTTTTATGTATCTAGCTAGCTACGGAGCCGGGCTTGTGTCGACTTGATTCCGAACGCATGATGTAGCCTTAAAGATCAAAAAATTACATGTACTGGCGCTATTAAGGATAACTGCTTTTGTTTAAAGTATCTACAACAAAGTGCTTGAGCTGCTGACGTAACTAGCTGCTGACGTAACTAGCTGCTGACGTAACTAGCTGCTGACGTAACTAGCTGCTGACGTAACTAGCTGCTTTGAAGCAGCTCTTTCGAAGAACGGCTCGACCATAAGGAATGAACGAAGCACCATACCAAAGCATTGCACTATACTGTATAACAATTAGCAGCAATATAAGCGGAACTGCTTTTGGGAAACCAAAGGCGATAACAAGTGTCGTGAACATGGCACTTAGCCAAACGCAGCAGGCAATGCGTCGAACAGGCATGCACATGACCTGAAGTTGTCTCATAGGTCCAATCAAGAAAAGTGAACTGCCAATGCTGCAAATTGTTCCCAATGTATAAAAGAAAGCAAACTGCTTGAGATGTTTCGGGCCTCCCCACATCATTAATGTCGATAAGAAACCACAAAGCGTGCCAAACAAGTAGCAGATAATCGCTCCATATAGTCGTTGACGTTTTGTGAGACCACACTCGTACTTCAAATCATTCAATAAACCTTCTTTTTCTTGATTTGTATCAGAAGAAGCTTTTCCTTCTTCTAAATCACTCTCATTTATCGTGTCAGCGAGCGATAAGGACGAATCTGATGATTTTACCACAGCTGGTACCTTAATATTAAGTGCATCAGCCTTTGCCTGCAATGCTATTGATCCTTTTTGCGTCGCATCTTTAATCGAGCTGACAATACTTGACTTTTGGGCTGCGCCTTTGAGCGATTCCGCCTTATTCCGTGCCAATGCTGCCGCTTGCGTCGACTTTGTCTTGAATGTATTCAGCATTTACGATACTGTGAGAATAAATACATATGTAATTGATTATGAACCAACCAAATCGTCAAGATACAGAGAGCGCATTATGCACCAATAACATCATTTTATTTAAGCATTCAACAAACGGTCAATTCTTTTTATAATCTCTCTTTTATATTACTTATTAATTCCAAAAATATACAAAACAATGTCCGATTCGGAAGACTATGAATATGAATATGATAGTGACGAGGAACAGATTGAGACTGATGAACAAAATAATGATAACATATCAAGTGCTAATATCGAGAGTATCAATGAGACTAATGATCCTACGATACAAAAACAATTACTACTAACTCGTGAAGCACAAATTACATTGGAAAATACATTCTATGAAGCTGCGGATTTTCGTCAACGTGGTGAATTTGTCCAAGCATTTGAGTATTTTCAATGTGTTTTAAAATTAGAGAAAGAATTAATTGAATCCATAAATGGACAGAAATGGAGTTTTCAAGCATTAGAACAGATGGTGAAAATATGTCTCCATCGATCTCAATGGGATGAAATGTTAGGTTATTATCAAGAAATGTTGAAATATTTACCATTTGTGACAAGAAATGAAAGCACAGACTCGATTTCATTAATTCTTGATGTTGTATCAACTACAATCGGATACAAGAAAGAAAGTGTGACATATATGTTAAAAATGTATCAACTCACAATGGAGAAACTTAAGGTTATGAACAATGATCGACTTTGGTTCAGTATGAATGTGAAATTGGGAAAATTGTATCTTGACATGAAAGAATTTGATCAATTGGAAAAACTATTGCAACAGCTTTATGCGTATTGTAAAACACCTGATGAAATACAAGATCAATCAAAGGCAACGTCATTGTTGGATGTCTATGCATTGGACATTCAGGTACTCATGTGAACCAATGATGGGAAAGTATCTTACATGAAACTTACAGGTTTTTATATTTACACTTTTCATACATGCAGCTGTGCGTGGCAACCAAGAATGGTGCAAAATTGCGCGTTATTTACCCAAAAACACTGGATCTGGATGCTGCCGTCGCTGATCCGCGTATTATGGGGTAGGTTATTACCGTAGTTGCTGTAGTAGACGACTAAAGAATTAACATTTTGGTCTTTGTTGTGCGCAGTATTATCCGTGAGGAGGGTGGCAAAATGTACTTGGAAGAAAAGGAATGGATGCTTGCATATAACGAGTTCTTTGAGAGCTTTCGCAATTATCAGGAAGCTGGTAACTCACGCACAACGGACTGTCTGAAGTATGTCGTGCTAGCCAGTATGTTAGCCAGCTCAGATATTAATCCATTCGATTCGCGAGAAGCAAAGGTGTATCAAGACGTGGAAGAAATTAGCGCAATGTTGTTACTACGTGGTGCCTACGAGTTAAACGATATTGTGCAGTTTGAAAAGGTTCTGAAGAATCCCAAGTACAAACTGCTCAGTGATCCTATCATGAAGCGTTACTTGAACCCGCTGATGCGCAATATTCGATGCCAAGTCATGAAGAAGATCGTACGTCCATATCAAACAGTTCACATTGAGAGTCTGTCGAAAAGGATGAACATTACCAAGGGAGATGTCGAAGACATTGCTGTTGCACTTATTCAAAATTTGGAGTTGGACGCTAGGATTGACCAAAGTCGAGGTCTACTTGTGCTGCAGACACGACAAAAGTGCGTCAACTCTTTGCAATCATGTTATCTGCTTGTTTTCTTACAACATGTTGTGTCTGTCCACGGTTGTAGAGCTCGAGATGCTAGCAAGATGTACGATGCTTTAGACCGCTGGGCTCGAACACTTGCCGCAATACATACAACGTCTGCCACGCGGGTGATGGCACATCCATGATGCTGAAAATATCACAAGCGATCTAACTCGAGCATATCGTAATGTTTTCTCGATTTACTCACGTTGTCTCATTGAGTGGAAGTACGACTAGTTCAATCGTGCAGCCGAAAAAAATAATTCCTATTAATTGCTCTTTTAGCAGTGTCGTGGCGTACAAAAATTAATTATTCAAGTCGACACTGCGCGTTGTGTTCCTTGATGTAACTCGTCACTGCTTCGTCAGATGCAGTTAGATTCAGCACCTGGTACAATGCACGAGTGGCCAAATCAACAAGAGGAGCCGAGTTCGTCACCACTAGCGTCTCGCAGTTGCGTGTTTCGGCTCGACCATCCGAGAAAAGCGCCGATGAGACCACCTTCAGGGCCGCACCGGGCACCGCACGTGTCGATCTTACCGTATAGTTGGTGACAATGCTGACGTTGTCAGTGCCCACGAGAAGCACCAAAGCATCAATTAGCTCACGCCGGTGAATTGCAGCACCGTTTGGAACGTCCACTATTTTTCCATTGCTCGTCAATCCAAGCAAAACATCCAAATCGACAAGGACGGAAAAGATCGGTACCAAGAGCGGCAAGGCAAGGAACCGCACCGTTGGGTTAATAATCACGTCGCGACTCTGAATAAGCTTCAAGTCGCAGTTCTTTCCGCCGAGTTTGAGAGTAATACAGAGTACATCTTGAATTGTTGAAACAACGTTTTCCAGCGCACGCTTGAAGTCGTCAGGGAAGCGGTAGAGCCACGCCAACAATAGAGCAGCAAACAGATCACCTGTACCAGTGTAGTAACTTTCAATCCATGGAAAGCGCACCTCATACTGCTCACAGCAAAGATCTTGTCCATTGGCTCTGCTAGTGCGGACCTTGCTGCCGATAACCACCAACTCCTTTGGGCTTTCACCCTCGGGGACTTCCTGAAAACTGCTAATCACCACAACCTTTGGCCCCAATACGTGCAGTCTTTTACATGCACACATAGCATCCTGAACCGTACGCAGCTTTATTTTTGCCAGCATTTCACACTCATATTGATTAGGTGTCAACACATCGCAAATCGGTAGTACCTTTGATCGGTACAAGTCCACTGCAAGTGTTCATTCATCGGTCTTTTATTAGTTCGTTCAGCCGTTCACTCTACAAATTATGTGTATATCTTATATTCTACGTACCCAGCTCCAGCGGTACGTAGAGTTTGCCGAGATCTCCCATGACTGGATCACATACAAACACAAGACGATCTGAATCGGTCTGTGCAGCTCGAAGACGTTCGTGTGCGCGCACAATGGCATCTAGTAATGAGATTGAGCCAATATAGCCTGTCAATAGATGTGTATGCGTGTCTTGAAGTAGATTGTTTGTTTCCATGCCGTCTATTAAAACATGCAATTCATCCCCCGTAAGACGGCGTCCTGTGAACTGCTTGTAACCTGTATGGTTTGAAAATTGTACACTATTAATGGGATCTACATCCATGCCTAGTAGCTGAAGTGGAAATACAGCGCTTTTATTGCCTACATAACCATGTACCACATGAGATTGAATACTCAAGACACGACCAGAAGCTTGATTCATTATGAGATTTGTCTTTATTGAATCGTGAATTGATGTGCGCATACACATAACTTGTAAACTTGTAGTCAAGAGACAAAACCAAGTCCAGACGTGACGTGTTTGTCAGTTTGTTTACGTTTGGATTAAGTAGAACAGGGTACCATGCCATTGATGACGTAGTGATAGAGAGGTAAAGGTTACCATGCCAATGACGACTACGTAGTATAAAAAGATCAGATTGTTAGAGTGCCAGATGGAATAAAAAACATTACTAGCATTAATACCAGCTCGACACACTATCGGAACGTACTCTCGTATCATCAGTCTGGCTGTAGTCATGATGATACCTTCCTTAGCTTAAGACACACCAGAGCTTTTACTGTCATGGCGGTGACATGCACAATACTGGTACAACCACCTTGAGGTTCTCTATTTACTTCATTCGCGCAGTGTGCACTGCAAATGGTGTTTTGAAAGTTCATTGCACATGTTTTTACCTATGCATACGCTGTTAAGTTGGTTACAGATGTCACAAATGATGTCCTGCTTACCGCCAGCTGATGGGAGTTAGTCTTTGATAAACGGACAGCATGTGGACGTCGACAGGTTTTCTCGCGTCAGTGTAAATAAACAGGCTTATGATGTTAATAAATTGGTACATATGGTTTGAACGCGCTGCCACATGGCGATAGAAACGAAGAACCACATGAGCGCTAGTAAAAACGGACAGCATCTTATGGCAGAGGTGATTAATTATTTTAGTAGACCAGTTGAACCAACTGCCTTCTTTTCAAATTTTGTTCAGACAAGTTTACGTACGGCAGTAAGAAAGTGATTTCCACTAACAGGGAAGGACTTTTAGAATATGCGTTTTGCTTGCATCTTACTATTATTCGCGCTTGTCATTGCAGCAGGTAAGAACAACGATATTTTCTCGTCAAATTGTTTGATAAATGATAAGCTAATGAAATTGTTGTGCAGATGCTCATATGGCTGCGACACTCGAGACGCTTTCTCCACCTTTCGGTTCCACCAAAACGCAAGAAAACCCAGTCTCGACCGATACTTTGATCAACACTGTCCTCAAAAGTGCAGTTTTGGATAGCGTTGACAATGAGATTTTGACAACTTCTGCACCAAAAGGTTCCCGTGGTCAAGATGCGATTACACTCCCTGCACATGACTCTGCAACAACTAGGTCCGACTCGGTGTCAAATAGCAGCAGAAACGACTCGGCAGCACAAACTGGTTACAAGACGCCATCAGCGGCAGCGACCGATGGACACAAGCCGGTGTCATCTACCGTGGACGCGCTTAATGAAAGAACCGGAAAGTTGAGCGCAGGTACTTCAACTGGCGTTGAAGCTATTCTTCCGATCATTTTGGGAGCTCTCGGTTGTGTTGGGGTCTTGGCGATGGCTGTGATGCATCAGAAAAAACGTGACGTTAATGTGAATGACAGCAACCGTGCTAGCCTTGACTGCGAGTATAGCGGGACAGATTTACTCCCTGAGGACCAATCGCTTAGCATTGCGCAGGCAAAATCCCCGCTTGTCGCTAGTAAAATGCCAGATAGTGACCACAACTTGGCTGTGACTGCTTGCATTGTGGGAAATAACTCCCCCATTCACTCGACTTCTCCGTTCGGCAGTACCCGCAAAATGCGCGTAAGCTCTCCTGTTCCAAGCTCCTACCCGAATAGAGAAACCAACATTGAATTTCAGGACGCGTGCTCCCGCTATGGTGAAGGCAGCGATGTAATCCTTACTTTTAACAAAGTTCGGGCCGATTCATCTTATCTAGCTTCCCAGGTGCAGTTGTAAAAAAACAACTGTTTCACTCTACGCGTTAGTGTACTATGCCTTCGCTTACAGTTTTCATTTGAAAGTTAGCTGATACTTTCCAGTATTACACGACTTCATGCCGCTTGCGAGCTTAGAGCATGCTTTAGGAAGGAAAGGCGAGGATACAGCCGAATTGAGAGGAAAAAAACACCTATCGGCTCGGTCTTGCCTGCTCCTGTCCAATTGTGTTAACGTGTCCACATCCTCCCTTTCATTCTCTACTTGCTACTAATTGTTTATTTACCACGATCTAACATGGCGATCGGCTCGCGCGATGTTGCGATACGAGAATCCATCAAAAAACGGGGTATTGAGAGCTTCTTTAGCTGTCACCCGATTTTCAGGGTCCAGCACCAGCATGAGCTGCAATAGCTCAAGGAGGCCACTTTTGGCATCCTCGCGGGAAATCAAGTCCGCCAGCAGTCGCATCCTCCGCACGTGATCTACACTTTCGTCACTCGACGAACCAGCAGGCCAGTTGAGCCGCCCGCGATGAAAAAACTTGGATGAGACTGAATGCTTTGATGCTTGGGCAACCATTTTCGTAGGAAGTGGCCCGATACAGCGTTCCATGAGAGCAAGATGCTCCATGTTTTCGTGGGTCGCAAATAGCAATTCACCCAAGTAGAGCTCTGCGATAATACAGCCGGCTGACCAGATATCCGACGGGTAACTCCAACCAAGCCCGAGGATTACCTCGGGGGAACGATACTGACGCGTATTAATAATGGAGCTCTTCGACTCATCTTCGTACGTAGCACCTCCAAAGTCAATAAGCTTTACCGCGTTGTTTGCAGGGGGGGCGCAGCGATAGTCGGCCTACATCACCATCAGAAACCGTGCGCTCACGCTTTTTCCACTGGCGTCCATTAGACCAGTGTTCGCGTCCTGAAGAGCCACCGGGTGAGCCAAACGAAGATGTCGATGATGGCGACGAAGAATCACAAGAAAGTCTCTCCTCTTCGTCATCCACCAACAGTATGTTTTCAGGCTTGAGGTCTGTATGAATAAGCCGTATGCTGTGAATAAACTCCAGCGACGTCAAAAGTTGCCACGCGTAGGCGCGAATGCAATGCAACGGGAACGGCTTGTAATCGTGGTTCTTCAAGTAGTCGTATAGGGAACAACCCAGTCGCTCAAACACCATGCACACGTGGCCCTTGTACTCAAACCATTTGAACATACGAACACAAAGCGATTCGTTGTTCTTGTCCTTGTCATTTACCTCCTGCAGAATGGCAGCCTCAATCTTGGCTGACTCCGTGTACTTGTCTACCTTGCGAACCACCTTAATAGCCACTACAATATTGCGTTGTTTGTCCAGACATTCGAGCACTCGGCCAAACGTGCCCAGTCCAGCCTCGCGAATGATCTTGTAGCGGTTTGCAATATATTCTCCGGATTTACCGGCATAACTACCCACTGTGTCGTCATGTGACGCACTATCCTCGCTAGCATCTTTTTGCACAGCAGATGGTAGGGGTGGCAATAGCTCACGCTCGTGATTCGAGTCACGTCGCCGCTGTTTGTTCTTGCCGCGTGTCGAGTGACGACGATTGTTGTAATCAGTCTCAGAGCTTTTACGTCGACCGCGTGTCTGACTATTGCTTCTTGATGCCCTCGTTTTTCGATTAGTATAACTATTACAGTAAATTACATTGTACAAAAAAATCAGTAATTGATTACACGACAAGATATGGCAATAGATAAGATACACACCGACGGTAACGACGGTAGCTACCGTTTGATCCTGTACGTGATCGAGTATCTGAGTTTCTACGCTCCGATCTTGGCCTTGATCTCGATCGTGGTGCTCTTAAATCTGTCCATATTCATTCATAGCCGTCATTTGTTACCAAAATTATCCATTTCTTTCTCTTCAAGAACAATGACATGATAATGTCCTTATTTAAAACAGTCAAACCTGTTCTTCGTCTCATAAAACGTCGATCATGAGGCGAGCAAGTGCGACTTCGACCCTTATTGTTTGTATCGGGTTTATAGTCAGATTCTTTCGTAGAGCGTCGGGGACGACGTCGACGTGATGAGCTCGATACTGGAGGTGGTCGTGTATGATGTCGATGTAATTGATAACGAAGACGTGAGGATACGGGGCTAAAGCTTCGACTACGTCGATGTCGATCCATCACGTTGTCCGCGTGTCGTCGCCTCTCCATTCGCTTCCACTAGTTAGTAAATAGAAGTAAAGAATAAAGCTGTTTGATTTAAAACAATGTAGGAAGATGAAGTAACGGGATGAAGTAGCGGCGATACAAAAATGTAATGGTCACTATTTCAAGTTTTATTTTGTGATTTGTATTTATGACACAATCTCCCTGTTATTGTTTCGTAAATCGACGCAAATGACGACACTATTTGTTGGCAAGAATTTACCTGGTAGTCGTAATGACGAGTTTTTTGGATGGGAAGAAATGACTTGTACACGTAATGGTGACATTGGTGGTGCATTTGAGATCGAGCAACTGATTCAACGCCAGATTCGTGCCGATCCGACCGCTTTATCACAAATTTACAATGTGCCGGACGACCAGAATTCGTACTTGTGGCAATATGAACATTTACGTCAAGTGATGAAGGAGTTAAATATTCTTGTAGCACGGTTGGATGGAAACTGCACGCGTGAATCGTGTCCAGTGATGAAGGCTACAGATGATTGGGTGTTCTTATGTGCGGCTCATAAAGCACCAAAGGAGTGCTGTGCTTTTGAGTACATTGTACACACAATGGACAATGTCAACACTTTACTTACTAGCAGTCGAGTGTTTCCATCTCGTGTAAGCATTAGCTCCAATGCTACGCAGTACTTCCAATCAGTTTCCCGTCGCCTATACCGTATCTTCTCGCACACGTTTTTCCACCACCCGGAGGTCTTTAATGAGTTCGAGGACAAGTCGTATCTATGTCATCGCTTCGTCTACTTTGCGCTGCACTTCTGCCTTATTCCTAAGAGCCTGCTCATTATCCCTGATATTGGCTGAAGTAGTGCTGATAAGAAGACAACAAGCTTATCGGTTGCGTAGATAATAATTGCCGCCTAGTACTATCTCTTCTGAGCTCTTTAATCTGCATTCATGATAGTCGTGAACATCTAACTCATTCTCAATCTTTTCTCAACAACCACAGGACTGCTCACATCTTACAATTGTCGAGCGTTAGATTGTATGCAAACTGTTACGTCTTAAGCGTAAATTAGCTAAAGTCCTCGCTATCCCGACCGTCGCAAATTGTTCAGTCGCGCCTCAAGGTCACAAATGGCCAAATCCGTCGGCTCACTTCCTCCTGCAGCCACGGGAACAACTGGCGGCACCATTAACTTTGAGACGGCAGCTGCTGCTGCAGGTGCAGCATGAGCTGTAGGTGCCTCAGGCACTGCTCCCGTCATGTCGATACCTATTTCGTCCAGCACCTGTCCAACAATCTTGTCCTCCTCTTCCTCGTCCTGTTCAGCTTCCATAACGTCTTCAATCGTATCACCAATCATCTCTTGGGTCATCTCCATCTTTTCGCTTTCCTTGGTGTATTCCATCATGATTTGGTTTAGTCTCGGCAGGTTCATGGTCGACGCCATGGCTTTCATGGCTGTAGTCGTCCCCTGCAAGGCCGATGTCATGGCCTCCGCTGAACTTGCTGTCTCTAATCGCAGTGATACAGCCTGAAGCTGTGAGCGCATGGTATAAAACTTGGTAATATGCTGTCGCGTGCGTACTAGGTCTTTGGCCATGATCTTGACACTAGCAATCTGGCCCTGTTTGGCCATTTTCTTGATTTCAATAATTAATTTTTTCTCCTGATGCTGCAGAGTTTGTACGTTCACGATCCAATTGTCGCACAGCACGGTTAATTTCGCGCTTGTTCTCGCGAAGCTGTTCCTTTAGTGTCTTCTTCGTGCCAAGCGCATTGCCCATCACGACTACGGTATATGAGATTAAATTTTTTTTTAAGAACTGTCAAGTTTAGAAATCGTACTTTAATGAAACATTAGGGTCAAGATTTAAGCTAATAATAGCATTGGCTAAAGCAGACTGGATTTTCTTGGCAATTTTTTGTGATGCTCAATTAATATCAAAGTAGCGAAAGTGCACAAATACGAAATAGCTTTAAAGTCACGATTTCGTATAATCGCCCTAGTATAAAAATGCTCAATCACTTAGCATTGATCACTTTACCTTGAGCGGTAGATAATATATGTATAAAAGCTTACTTGATTGGAAGACTTAGTCAGTTTATCAACTCAACTTGTAGATTGAAACCTCATAGCATAAATTAAAACAATTGGCGAAAAGCACTGGCAGCAGTACGCCGCCTTACTTTCGTATTATCGTATTACTGTTATGGGGTGGTACTATCTTGCATTATTGCAGAATATATTCCTGACTGTGTCTTCTATCACGGTAAAGAAATGATGGCGTATTAACTGCTTACAGTGCTTGCAAGAATGGGAGATAACAACTCTAGAGAGTCGTCGTCACTCATGACAACAACCACGAAAAAGCCGCGTCTACTTTCAGTCTTCTTAGAATGGTCGATGTATGAACTAATAAATAGGCTTGGATTAGATAGCCTGTAGAAAACCAGCCTTATATCTGCCCACACTGGGAACTGGTTAGTGTTCTAATGCGTAATGGACTTAATAAATGTCGGTTAGTGCAAATATCAAAAAGAAAATGCGTGTGATTACAACCAGCGGCTTGACGTGTTAGTGTCAACCGCAAAGAAGTCGCTTAAGCCCTGTCTTCGTTAGAAAGAAAAAAGATTTTTTATGTGAATCAAAAAACCTTAACTTAAAGTTTCTTAATCTAAAAAACATATAAAAAACCACTGTAATTTTGCTAACTGGAATTTCGATTCAGTCTCACACTGAACTCACCAATACCAAATTCCAACACTCCTTCCGGAATTACCGAGGTTTCATATTCAATACGCATCCATTCCGACTTTACAGCCTTGTGTCCATTTTGCGTTAGAAAGCGAGCTTTGAGATGGTGAACAAATTATAAGAGCATTGATAACGAGTTATAATGTATCGTGGTAATTTTACGTGAGGATTTGTCCTACGATATAGACTTGAGGTTAGCTTGGAGATATTGAAAGTATAGCACTCACTCTCTCATTTGAATCTTAGGTGCGTCTTCTTTGAAATTTTGCTATTGTCTCCAAATTCTAACAGCGTGCCACGACTCTTCAATTGTGAGGATCTTCATGATAATTTATGTACGATAGTTATGACTTTGATTCCTTACATTTGTACTACACGAGTAGACACGGCAATGAGTGGTTTGCATTTAATAACGCATAACCATAAACCTTTCTTTTGCAAGCGTCGCCAAACGCGGTCTTTATTTAATCTTCAAAGCGCACTAAAGCTCAACATAGCTGGTTATGATACTATTATCGTGTCAAAACGAAAACATAAACTTTAACAAAATCGGCGCCTTGCTAAAATGAACAAGTCAACAAGCACGGGCGCAACAAACACCACATTTGCAGGTAAAAGTTTAGTTATAGCAGAACTCCGTTTTGACTCAGGCAGTACATTTATCCGAAAGGACCAGTTGCGGCGATATCAATACAAGCGTATCAGTAAAGTTATACGATGAAACAAGTATATTTTTAAACCTATATATCGAAACCGTTATCCTCTTTCGCCGTTTAACTTTTTCAAACTCGTTCAGGTAGAGTTTTCTCTAGTTTCCTTTTGAAATTATCGTAATTCTCGCTCGCATTGTCGTACAAATTCTTAACGTCGCTGTCAGACAACTTTGACTTAACTGAAGGTCGTGGTAACTGCGTGCCAACTTTTCAAAATTCCCTCTAGGTCAGGATTTTTAGCCACGTCGTAAATTGTTCTCTTTCGAGCAACCTCATGGTAGTCGGGTGTTTAGATTTCAAACGTTCGATCATCAAAGCAACCCTTATGACGCCCTTGCTTATTACCACCTGTTTGCAAGAAACCAGGTTTTTCACTGAACGCTGTCCGGCCAAACATTGTGTGCAGCCATCGGGGAGGAGTGCTCGTAGTATTTTGCCATATTTTTAAAAGTTACCTCCTCAGGTTCAAATTTCCTTTTCAACGAAGGTATGGAATTTTCGGCAATCTTAACTATAGGCGACTCCGCGTCAGAAATGAGGCTCGCGGTTACCCTTTCTTCAACTATATTGATAGGGCTGCCCGTTGCGACTGCCACGCTAGACTTCAGGTGCCGCTTCACAGCAACACTGTCATGAGGTGAGTTCAGCTTACCCGTCATCACATCATCATGATCAGATTTTGCGGCGGTCCCTACTGAGCAAAACCCAAGGATCAAGACAACGAGACACACCTTTGCATGGAAAAACTGGGCTGTGCCGGTGAATGGCATTTTTGTAACTTGAAAAGATGCGTGAGGCTTGAAGCAGAATCGAATGTGATGAGGTTGAGACCTGAACTGTCACCTCAGCGTAATTTATTTGAATTATCCGGACAATCTAATCTTTATTCTGTAGCCGCGCTGAATGCTCTAGATTCTTGTTCTACCGTATTGACACTTTCTACTGAAGTCAGATGCTTGAACCCGCTTCATCAGACAAGGTTGGGGACAGTTTCTTTGAGAAGGCACCGGATCAGATTCAAAGCGTAGCTTCTATTGGTGGGACTAGCCAAAAGCTCGACGGGATTAGATGCAAATTTTCGTTTTGTGAACTGTCTGTGAATCGGTCCAGCCGAATAAACAAATCATACTGCTGCAGTGTCTGTCACATGCGGGTCACAAAATCGAATACTCGGTAGATTCCTGGTGTGCAGCAACGCCCTCTTGCAGTTCTGTGCGAATAGTGGCCAGTCCATGGCCATCATGAAATTGCTGAGTGCACTTGTTCAAGTATCGCGTAAGAGTGAAATGGTTATCCACTGTTTATGTAGCCGAGCTACTGTAGCTACGCTACTTATGCACTATGTTCAGATGCACTGTGTGCAGAAGAAGTAGTCAAATTACTATAGCAAAGCTTCGTATGCACTATGTGCAAAGGAAGACAAGCTCAGAGAGCGTTTACGTCTTAGGGTGCTTAAACCTCCTAGGCTAGCTCGTAAGCTTGTGCCTATCGGTATTAACAACCGAGTCTCAGAGAGATTAGTACCAAAAAAAATACTGATTCCTTTCAAAGAAATCGAACGCTTAAGTTGTAAAGCTTACAGAGCAGGTTAGAAACTGATTTATATTTAGTTTTATCTTCTAACACTAAATATAGAAGCACCTATTCTATACTTAGTGCTAGTCACTATTACTGTCTCTTTAGCCTTTTATTATTATGCAAACATGCATACTCACTATACTATAAATGAGTATAGTGACCACGTGGCTCTCTGCCACGATGCCACCCTTCGTACTTCACATCACCTACTTTTGTACCCAAGGTAAAGCCACACCACATTGATGTGGCAGGTGTGTATGTAAAATACACAGCTTCGTGTAACCCCGTTACACACTCTCCCCCCACCAATCCGTGGGACCCGACATACCCACGATTTTTCAAACTTATTGGGAGTCATCGATTTTATTTTCTACCCATTTTGCTTGCCTCGCATTAAGTGCCGCGCACTTGCGAACAAAGCGTTAGTGTTTTATCGGCTTGCTCTTTGAGCATCTGTGCCTTGCACACACGCTTTCTAAGCATCCTAGTGTTAGGACACTTTATCTTTGAGCCTACGCTGCATTGCACTCACACAAAAGCATTATAGTGTTACGACACTTGATAGTAAGGGTCAAGTGTCTAGCACTTGGTATTAATACCCTTTGTGCGTTTACAAACACTTGTTTTTACTGCATATAAGTGACTAGTCCTTGCTTTGAAGCATTTCAGTGATCTAAATACTTGCTTGTTAGCGATTGAGCATATAAGTCTGTAACACTTGATCACAAAGCACCGTACTGTTAACACTAGCTTATAATGCACATTAGTGTCGAACACTAGCCAATAATGCACACTAGTGTCGAACACTAGCTACAATGCACATTAGTGGCTAACAGCAGCTTACAAAACACCTTCGTGTTCAACACTTGCTTAAAAAGCACATTTTTGCTTAACACTTGCTTTTAGAGCACCTTCGTGTTCAGCACATGCTTATAAAGCACCTAAATGCTTAACACGTGCTTGTAACACACCTTAGTGTTAAACACTTGCTTATATAAAGCCCCACAGTGCTAATTTTGCTTATAAAGCACAACATTGTTTATCACATGCTCATATAAATCCCCAAAGTGGCGTAAACTTGCTATAAAGCTTCATTATGGTTTGCGTGCTTATATAGCAGCTAAGTGTTTCTCACATATTGAAGTGCACCGCAGTGCCCAGCACATGCTCGTGGAGCCATAGCGTGCTATATCCACTTGCTCTTTGAGCTCCCCAAGTCATTACGCTTTGCGTATTATATAGACAAAGCCATATACGCCGTAATTTTTGCTTTTGAAGCAGATAATAGTACTTCTCACGCGAGCGAGGTACCAGCAACTGCTTCCCAAGAAGGTCAGAGGTGAAGCCTAACTACTGACCTTGCTTCCACAGCACTTAGTGCTAGCAAGCATCCGGCAACTACTGTCGCCGCTTCTGATCTTCCCGATCAACAGATTCAACGGCGTCCGGGCAGTCTTACCGCAGGGATACCTCGTACTCCCATGAGTCATCCGACTGAGAATACCCCTTCCACTTTACCAGATACTGGGTGTGGCCCTGATGAAGACGTCGCGCCAATAGACGCTCGACGTGAAGCTGTTGATGACCCAGATCATCATTCAACGTTGGCTGGGGTCGGTGATTCATCAATTCATGATCTTTTGGTACGCCTTCGGCGTCCATATGCACCTCCGGTGCTGTGCCTCCCGCCTCCTTCGGCCGAAGGCATGAGGTAACCCCTCAAAGTCCACCGAGGCAG